AAAAAAAAAAAAAAAGAGCTAAAACTATAAAATGCTTAGAAGAAAAGAAGGAGAAATCTTTATTACACTGGTCTTGGCAATGATTTCTTGGCTATGACGCCAAAAACACAAGTAACGAAAGTAAAAATAGATAAACTGGACTACATCAAAATGAAAACCTGCTGTGCATCAAAGGACACTACCAACAGAGTGAAAAGACAACCCACAGAATGGGAAAATATTGCAAATCATATAGGTCTGAATACTCAAAATACAGAAATAACTTCTACAAAAATGGGTGAAGAAATTGAATAGCCATTTCTCCAAAGAAGATATACAAATGGCCAATAAGCACATGAAAAGATGCTCAACACCACTGGCCATTAAGGAAATGGAAGTCAAAACCACCATTAGAATGGCTATAATAAAAAATAACTGGTTTTTTGGCTCTTCAAAAAGCTTGATGGATCTTCAAAAGTTAGACACAGAATTACCGTATGATCTTACACTTCTCTACTCCTATATACCCCAAAGAAATTAAACACAGGGAATGACATTAGTACACCAATGTTCTACACCAATGTAGAAGCATTATTCACAGTAGCCAAAAAATGTAAACAACTCAAGCATCCATCAACAGATGAATGAATAAGTAATATCCTTTATCAGAAATGCTTTGGATTACAAGTATTTTGGATTCCAATTTTTATTTATTTTGGAATACGTGCATATACATAACGAGATATCTTGGGAATGAGACCCAAGTTTAAACATGAAATTCATTTGTTTCTCTTTTTTTTAAAAAATTTAAATAGAGATGGGGTCTTGTTAAGTTGCCCAGGATGGTGTCCAACTCCTGGCCCCAAGCAATCTTCCTGCCTCAGTCTCCCAAAGTGCTGGGAATAGAGGTGTGAACCACTACACCCTGCCCTATTTATATTTTGCATACAACTTATACATATAGCCTGAAGATAATTTTATATAACATTTTTAATAATTTTGTGTAAGAAACATTGAGCTTTCAGAAAGCAAAGGTGTTAGGTGTGCCATTTTCCACCTGTGCTATCAGGTTGGCTCTCAAACCTTTCGTATTTTGGAACATACAGTGTAAATGTGTTGGTCACCTATCTGTAAAATTTCATAATGAATATTTTGTAAATAAGGCATATTTAGTTACAATTTCCCATTTTCCCATGTGTAACCTTTGGGATGCCCTATGGTATTCTATGGCTTAGATGAGTCACAATTTAGGGCATCTACTTATGGACATTTGGGTTGTTCCCAATTTTTCACTCTTACACACTAAGGTGCAAAGAACTGAAGCTACATCTTTGAGCACAATAGTGAGCAGGACAGACTCCTCAAAGTAGACTGTAGCAAAAGTTATGGGCTTTTAAGTTTAATAGATGCTTCAAATTTCAGTGACCTTCACCAATTTATACTCTCACCAATACTGCATGACGCTGCTTGTTATTTTTCATTTTCACCAACACTTGATACTACCAATTTTCCAAAAATGTCAATCTAATGGATTTGAAATTATAATTGATTCACTTTGTTTTACTCTGTTAGCAAGGCAAATATCTTTCTTGAAGTTTCTTTCTTTTTTTTTTTTTTTTTTTTTTGAGACAGAGCCTCAAGCTGTCCCCCTGGGTAGAGTGCTGTGTCATCACAGCTCACAGCAACCTCCAACTCCTGGGCTCAAGCGAGTCTCCTGCCTCTGCCTCCCAAGTAGCTGGGACCACAGGCACCCACCACAGTGCCAGGCTATTTTTTGGTTGCAGCCATCATTGTTGTTTGGCGGGATCGGGCTGGATTTGAACCTGCCACCTTAGGTGTATGTGGCTGGCACCTTAGCCACTTGAGCCACAGGCGCCGAGCTGAAGTTTCTTGATCAATATGTTTCTTTTTCAAATTGTCTATGTTCTTAGCCTGTTTTTTTCTTTTGGGTCATTTTTGGTTTTTATTTGTAGGTACCGCATCAAATATTCTGGATATTAATACTTTGCTACACACCATTTCTCCTTTTCAACCATCTTTTCACTTTCATGAGATCAAATGCAATAATCTTTTTCTGCCTTGTGAATCTGTGTGTAGCTTAAGAAACATACATGGACCACTTTTCAGCTTTGTAGTAAAAGAGGTGTGTCTCCCAGTCTTCCTGTCAAAGGACCTTGCTGCCTCCTTACCAGGAAGGAGATGAGTCAGCAAACTGCCTGCAGCTATGAGCTTTCAGTCATTGAAGCAGCTGTAAACTGCCTTCCCACACCCAGTCATTGAAAGGGAAGGGTATAAAAAGCCCTGGCCATGAGAGTCTAACTAGGAACAAACCCCAGAGGCAACACTTGCTCCCAACTTCCTCTGTCAGGCCTGACTGCCTTTGCACTTGCACTTCTCCCACCTGTGAGGTGGCCAATGCTCTCTGTCAAGCTTGATTGCCTTTGGAGGTCCCCTGCCCACCCCTGCTTCCTGTTCCTTCTGTCCACCCAGATCTCTACCTGGGGACTGCTTCTGGAGAGCCCAACCTGCAAAAGACTCTTCTATTATAACCTATTTCATTAAACTTACCATCATAGCATATTGTTCTAATACCCTTCTTCAGAATTTTCTTGGCTATCTTTGTACATTTTTTCCTTTCATACAAATTTAAGAATCAGCCATTGAATTCCATAGGGAATCTGGTTGGCCTTTTAACTGGGATTACAGTCCATTTATAAATGATTTGAGGGACAACTGACAGCATTAGTGTATCAAGTCTTTCCATCCATAAACACATTTCATCATTTCATGTCCTTTAGAAATGTTTTGCCATGTTTACCAATCTGTAGAAACTTTACCTCACTGTGCTTTTAATTTGCATTTCCCTAATTACTAGTCTGAATATTCTTTTTGGGGAAGGACCTATTCAAATATTCCGTCCATGTTTTATTTGGGTTGCCCTTCTTTTTCTTTTTGATCATAAGATTTCCGTATGCACCCAAGTCCCTTGTCAGTTACATGTGTGTTGCAGCTTGCCTCTCCCATTCTGGGGCTATGCTCACCAGAAATGAGGGTGCTAAGTATCTTTGTCTCATACATTAGCTCAAAGGAAAGCTGTTAACATTTTGTTAGTAAGTACAATGTTTGCTGTGGTTGTTTCCTAATATCTTATCATCAGATAAGAAATTTTTCTCTGAATTGCTAATACTATTATATCATGAATAAATATTGCATTTTATCAAGTTTTTTTTAATCTCTTGAAAAGATTTTGTTTTCATTTAATAAGATAACAGAATGAATTATAATGACAAATATTCCTACAGTTAAACTAACTTTGCATTCTTGGATGGAATAAACCCAAGTTGGTTTTTTGTACGTTGATGGACTCAGTTTGTTTATAGTATTTTATTTAGGATTTTTACATCTATACTGTTAAATAAGATTTTACATCTATACTGTTAAATAACATTTATACTATTAAATAATAATTTTCCTTTCTTGCACTTTCTTTTCCAGTTTTGGGAATTAAGATTATGCTAGCAAAAAATGAGTTTGGCAGAGTTTTCTCTTTTCTGTTATCTGGACAAATGCATATATAAGATTGGGATAATGTCTTCATTAAGTATTTGGTAGAAATTACTGATAAGCTATCTGGTTGTGAGATTTTTCTCTGTGGAAAGATTTTTTGATCACTGATTCTTTTTTTTTTCTTCTTACGTCAGATGGGTAATATGCCAGTGTCGTAACAAGGTTTGAGGGAGGCCCATCTCACACACACATGTGAACACCTAATCATCATGCTTATAAACTGCAAAAAGATTGATCACTGATTCTCTTCATAGTTACAGGAATAATCCTGAGTCAGTTTTGTTAAGTTATATTTTTCTAGAAATTGTTCCATTTTATCTAAATTTTAAAATTAATTAGCCAAAAGTTATCCCTAATATCTTTTTTTTTCCTTATTTTTTTGAGACAGAGCTTCACTTTGTCACCCTGAGTAGAGTGCCATGACGGCATAGCTCATAGCAACTTCAAACTCCTAGGCACAAGCGATTCTCTTGCCTCAGCTTCCTGAGTAGCTGGACAATAGGTGCCTGCCATAACACCCGGCTAGTTTTGCTACTTTTAGTAGAAACATGGTCTTGCTCTTGCTCAGGCTGGTCTGGAACTCCAGAACTCAAGCAATCCACCCACCTCGGCCTCCATGCTAGGATTACAGGTGTGAGCCACTGTGTCTAGTCCCTAATATTTCTTAATATCATTTAATGTCTCCAGGACCTGTAATAATACCTCATAGTTCATTATTTCAATCTTGTCTCTGTTTTTCTGTCAGTCTCAATTAGTCAATTTTATTAGCCTTTTCAGAGAACCAACATTTGGCTTTTTCAGTTCTCTATTAGCTGTTTTCTATGTTTTTGTGCTTTTTTCCTTATTATTTACTCCTACTTCCTCTAAATTTATTATCTTCTTCAGATAAATGATTAATGATTAATTTTCAGCCTTTTAATTTTCTTTTTTTTGAGACAGAATCCCGTATGTCCCCCTGGGTAGAATGCAGTGGCATCACAGTTGCTCAAACTCTTGGGCAAGCAATTCTCTTGACTCAGCCTCCCAAGTAGCTGGGACTACAGGTGCCTGCCAGGTGCCTGGCTATTTTGTTGTTGTTGTTGTAGTTTTCATTGTTGTTTTAGCAGGCCCGGGCCAGGTTCAAACCTGCCAGTTCTGCTGTATGTGGCTGGTACCCTGACCACTGAACTATAGCTCTAAGCCTTAATTTTCTAATATATAATATGTATTTAAGGTTGTATTACTAAGTACTCCTTTGCAAAATACATTTTATAATTTTTAACATGCAGATTTTTTTTTAGCCTTCAGTTAAAAGTATTTTCTAAATTCTATTGTGATTTTTTTTGACCCAAGAGATATTTAAAATCTTCCTTTCTTCTTTCCTCCCTCCCTCCCCTCCCCCCTCCTCTCCTCCTCTCTGCTCCACCCCTCCCCTCCCCTTTCATCACACCTTCCTTAAACTTTCCTTAAACCTACCTTCCTTTCAGCCCTGCCCTGCCTGCCTTCCTTCAACCAACCTTCCCTTCTATACTGCCCTGCCTGCCTTCAACCAACCTTCCTTTCCCTCCCTTCCTTCTTTCCTTTCAAAAAGAGATAGGGTCTTGCTTTGCTGCCCAGGCCGGAGTATGATGTAGCTCACTGTAGCCTCAAACTTCTGGGCTCAAGCAATACTCTTGCCTCAGCCTCCTAAGTCATTCAGATCACAGGTGTTTAGCCACTGTACCCAGGTAAAACCACATGGGTTTTTTTTTTCATTAATTTCTAGCATAGTTAAAATATAGTCAGAGAACATTCTTTATACTATTACAGTCCCTTTAAGTTGGTGAAGACTTGCTTTGTTTTTTTCCATACAAGTTCAATTTTTGAAAAGCCTTTAATGGCAGGTATTCGGCACTAATTAAGTGCAGTGTTTTATATGTTTCCATAAGGTCAAGTATATTAATCATGTTCTTAAAATCATCTATGTCCTTACTAATTTTGTCTTTTGTGTCAACTAAAAAGAGATTTGTCTTAAAATCTCCAACTATGACTGTGGATTGTGAATTTGGCTATTGCTCTTTGAATTTTGTAACTTTTCCTTTGTATATTTTGAGGCCATATGATTAAGGGTATATTTATATTTAAAGTTTTTATACCTTTCTTGTGAATTAAATCTTTTAGCACTATGAAATATTCCTGATCATTTGAGGTAATGCTTTTTTGCCTTGGTGTCTACCTTGCCTGATTCTCATCTTCTTTTGTATTTTTTTCTTTTTATTTTTTTGAGACAGTCTCACTCTGTTGCTCCAGGCTAGAGTGCCATAGCATCATAGCTTACAGCAATCTCAAACTTCTGGGCTCAACCGATCCTCTTGCCTCAGCCTCCCGAGTAGCTGGGACTACAGGTCTATGCTGTAACACCCTACTAATTTTCCTATTTTTAGTAGAGATGGGGTATCTTGATCTGGGTGGTCTGGAACTCCTGAGCTCAGGGATCCTCCAGCCTTGGTATCCCAGAGTGCTAGGATTACCAGCATTAAGTCCAGCTAATTTTTCTATTTTTAGTAGAGACAGGCTTTCACTCATGTGCAGGCTGGTCTTGAACTCCTGAGCTCAAGCAATCCACCCACCTCAGCCTCCCAAAGTAGTAGGATTACAGGTGTGAGCCACTGTGCTGGCCTTTTGTATTTTAAAGTCTCTGCTTGCCTGTTTTACTTCCTATAGTCTCCCTTTCATGATTATTGGGTATGTTACTGAAAGAGTTATAGCGTGGCTCAATTCCAGAGTGTGTAAGGGTAACAGGGGGGCTCTGTTCCTCCTGGTTGGTTAGTTGGTACCTGGGCTCTCTGACACACCTGTGACCCCAGACACCAAACTCACCATTTCAGCCTCAGGCAGTTGCTGCTGCCATCTGTTGCATAGCACAAGGGAAGTTACGGGAGAAGCTAACTTTTCTAAATAACATAAACGTGGTTCCCAAATGACTCTACCTGTCAGCGTCCCTGGTGATTGTGCTGTCACTCCTGTACACTGACATAGGAATCACTTCTCTAGCATGTCTTCCTCTGCATTATGTTTTGGGTGAGTATTTCTTTTCCCTGTTATATGCCTCAGCAGATAGAATTCTGTTGTCTATCTTTCATGAATTCTTAAAAATGATTGATCCACTTACGGTACTTCCATTTTTTTCCCCAGTGATCTTGTGCTGTTGTTTCCATGTTATTATATATATTTTCTCTCATTTCATCCATTTTTTTTTTTTTTTTTAAGACAGAGCCTCAAGCTGTCCCCCTAGGTAGAGTGCTGTGGCATCACAGCTCACGGCAACCTCCAACTCCTGGGGTCAAGCGAGTCTCCTGCCTCAGCCTTCCAAGTAGCTGGGACCACAGGCACCCGCACAACGCCTGGCTATTTTTTGGTTGCAGCCGTCATTGTTGTTTGGCGGGCCTGGGCTGGATTGGAACCTGCCACCTTAGGTGTATGTGGCTGGCACCTTAGCCGCTTGAGCCACAGGCGCCGAGCCCATTTCATCCATTTTGATGAAGAAACTGGCCCAGTATGCCAATATAATAATATTTCCCTACAATTGCTCATTTGTTTTATGCATTCACCAAGCTAGCTTACCTTAAATCTTGATAATAAATTACATTGCTTTAGTTTTCATGATTGATAAAACACATTTTGATATGTTAGTATTTTGAGCATCTGCTATGTTACCTACCTTTAAACTCTTCACATCATTTTCTACATTTTCTTCTAATTGATTTAAATAAAAAGGCTTAAATATTTCTTCAATGCCTATATGGAAAAAAATAGCACATTAAGTTTTTTAAGTATTTGCTAACAGAAAATTAAAATATTAATGATCTGGCTCGATGCCTGTAGCTCAGCAGCTAAGGCACGAGCCACATACACCAGAGCTAGTGGGTTCGAATCCAGCCTGGGCCTGCCAAACAATGACAACTACAACCAAAAATTGCCAGGCATTGTGGCGGGTGCCTGTGGTCCCAGCTACTTGAGAGGCTGAGGTGAGAATAGTGTAAGCCCAAGAGTTTGGGGTTGCTGTGAGCTGTGATGCCATAGCACTCTATCCAGGGAGACATAGTGAGACTCTGTCTCAAAAAAAACAAATTAACAATCTATTGTCTTTGCATTACTTACCTCAATCTGAAGTGGGTAAAGCATTAAAATAAAAATTTAAATTCCAAATCTAATAAAGACACTAATGAGACTAATAATCAGGAGAACAGAACAAGGGATAGGCTAATTCTGGTCCTAACAGGATGTATAGTAGTTTCTCTGGTTGTAGCACAGGGTTGTACCAGCCCTACCTTGTGAGAGTCAACCTCCATGTGAACAAGGGCAGGTAAACTCCATGCTTACGTCCCTCTGTTACCAAATTTATGATAGGATGGAACACTCAGAATAAGGATTTGGTATAATGGGTTAGAGCTATTAGCCTTAAAAGAAAAGAAAAACTTCTAGCTCCAGGAAGACAAAGTGTACATACTTTTTCTCATTTCTTCTGCTGAGTACAATAAAAAACTCTAGCTAGATAAATTATATATAAAACGAACATACAGAGACTCTGAAAGGAGAAAAGAAGGCAGACTAACTAGAGACCTCAGGATCTGAAGAAACAAATGATGGTGGGTTCACTGGATTTTCTCTTTGCTTCACATTTCCCAGATGTGGAGTTGAAAAGGGAAACCTGGAACCATCATTAGGCACAGACAAAAAAAGCCCCATCAAAAGCCTGTTCTTTCTAGCCAAATAACTGAGCAAGGGCAGCCTACCAAGTCAGAAAACCTTTAGTCAGTCAACAGCCATAGCACCCTGAATGTGCTCAATTTCATCTAATCTTGGAAGCTAAGCAGTGTAGGGTCTGATTGATACTTGGATGGGAGAAAACCTTTAGACAACAACCACTCTATTCTAGCCAACCAGCAGAGAACAAGACCTGTGGCTCTACCAAGGCCTGCACTAGCTAAGGCCAAGTGGAGAGCCTAGGCTTCCAACCTCACATGATATTAACAAGACACCCCAGCACCCCACCAGGATGTCAGAGAAGGCCAGGACTGTCCTGCCTTCCACAGGTGATGAGCCTCTTCACTCTCCTGGTATCAACAGACCACAGGGTAGCCTTAACTTGTACCCCTCACAGCATTAACAAGATACCCCATCATCTCTCCACTGAGGAAGTGTAAGAAGAGGCCTAGCAGAGAGCCAGGACTTCTACCTCTGTCCAGTAGCAATGAGGCACATCCGTCAGTGGAAGACTACGCAGACTGCCAGAACTCTCACCTTGACCAGCAGTGAAGAGGGGCCCTCCGACTTGGGTGTGAATGGGGCCCAAGTGCATAACCTGATCTTCTACATCTACCTGGCACTAATAAGGTGGCAGCCACCCTTCCCTTCCCAGGGCAATGTCAGAAAAGTTCAACTAAAACAGAAGGCTTAAAGAAGATCCAGAATTCCAAACATAGTAAGGACATGTACAAGTTTCAATAGAAGAAAACCACAAATTATACTAAGAACCAGAAAGATCCCAAACTGAACAAAAAACAATAATCAATAGATGCCAATACCAAGGTGACCACAATGTTAAGAGTGCCAAAGATTTTAATGCAGCCATGATAAAAATGGTTCAGTAAGCAATTATATACCCGCTTGAAACAAATAAAAAAATAGAAAAGTCTCAGCAAATAGAGAAGATATACATTTTAGAGCTAAAAAAAAAATACATAACCAAAATAAAAAGTTCAGTAGACAGGCTCAACAGTAGAATGGAAGGGTCAGAGAAAAATGAGTAAACTGGAAGATTATAATAGAAATTTCCCATTTTGAACAAGAGAGAAAATTAATAACTGAGAAAAAAATGTATAGAGCCTCAGGCAACTGGGGGACTATAACAAAAAATATAGTTTTTAATGTCATCCAAATTCTAGAAGGAAAGAAGAAAGAGTGAGGCTAAAATAGTACTCATACAAATAACAAATGAAAATTTCCTAAAGACAGCAAGAGGCATAAACTTATGGATTCAAGAAGCTAACCAAATCCTAAACAAAATAAACCCAAAGAAATCCACACCAAGACAAATAATAACTAAACCTCTGAAAAATAAAGGCAAAGAAAAAATATTGAAAGCAGCTGGGGAAAAAGAATGCCTTACCTATAAGAAAAAAAAAAAAAAAACGATTAGTATGACAGAGGATTTCTCAATGCAAACCACAAAGGCCAGAGGCACAATCCTTTTCAAGTACTGAAAGAAAAGAACTGCAAACCCACAATCTTACATTCAGCAAAAAATATCCTTCCAAAATGAAGGAGAGATAAGATATTCTCAGAGGAAAACTAAGATACTTTCTTGACATCAGACATACCCTAAAAGAATGGGTAAAGGAAGTTCTTTAACCAGAAAGGAAATAATGAAAGAAAACACCTTGGAAAATCAGGGTGGGAGAAAGAAGACACATGATATAATAAAAGGTAAATATTTGATCTTTACGTCTAATTTGGTTCATGACAGGCAGCTGCTGCAATCTTAAGATAATAAGAGTGTCTTTTGGTTAGAGGTGAGGGGTGCTGGCTAGGTAGCCTCAGGATGGGGTTGGTCATCAGAAAGACCAAGCCTTGATTAGGTTGGAACTTGAAGCATCATCCCTTGACCTCCAGGGAGGGGAGAGGAGCCGGAGATTAAGTTCATTACCAATGGCCATTGACTCAGTCAGTCATGTCTACATAACCAAACTTCCATAAAAACCCCTATCTAATAGCCGGGCATTATGGCGGGCACCCGTAGTCCCAGCTACTTGGGAGACTGAGGCAAGAGAATTGCTTAAGCCTAAGAGTTGGAGGTTGCTGTGAGCTGTGACGCCAAGGCACTCTACCAAGGGCAACATAGTGAGACTTTGTCTCAAAAACAAACAAAAAAAACACCAAAAAAACCTCCTACCTAAATGGTGGAGTCTGGTGACCTTCTAGGTTGGTAAACACACAGAAGCCCTGGGAGGGCGGAGTGCTGGCATGGGGCATTCCAGCTATGCACATACACCCCTCCTGTACCTTGTTTTAAGCATCTCTTCCAGTTGGCTCTTTCTGAGTTGTATCTATTACCATAAAAGGGGAAACATACGTAAATGTTGTGAGTTCTGGTTCTATGAATAAATTACCAAATTTAAGGTAAAGGGTAATAAGAATACCCAAATTTGTAGTTGGCTGGGCAGAAAAGTGGGTGGCCCAGGTACCAAATGCTGGCAAGGATGCAGAGAAACTGGATCCCACACTCACTGAATATAAAATGGTACATCCATTCTGAACAAATTTTGTCAATTTCTTAAAAAAACAAAACTACATTCATAAAACCAGAACTCATAACATTTACGCATGTTTCCCTCTTTTATTATAGAACTAGAGAACCAGACACCTAGTGGTTGTTTGGGATTGAGTAGGGGAGGGACAGAAGGGGCATAGGTGTGGCTACCTTCTGGGCAGCACAGGATCCCTGTGGTGATGGAAATGTTCTGTATCTGACAGTACTGATATCAGTATCTTAGTTGGGACACTGTACTGTGATTTCACAAGGGGAATGCAAATGAAGAGTCAGTGTGATCTTTTTGCATTATTTCTTATAATTGCATGTGAATTCATTACAATTACCTAAATAATGAGAACTTTAATTTTTGAAAGTGAAAAAAGCATGAAAGAAGATACTAAGGCAGGAGAAAATTAATGCTGACTGAGCACATAAGCAAATGCACAGTTAAAGCACCTCTCTAACGTTTCGGTGGTAGTGGTGGGCAGGGCATTTCTATTTCTCATAGCAGAAAAATGAGGGCAAAATGCTTTGCAGGCTCCTTAGTGCCTTCCTACCATATCTTTTTTCCTCACCTGATTTCTTTCAGATTTCTCTGTCTCAAAATAAAATAAAATAAAATAAAATAAAAAAATAAAGATATTAGCTAAACCAGGGGAGGGGAAAGAAGGACAAGAAGCTAAGGAATGAGAAGGCTTGTGGAAGTAACCCAAGTGCCCACAGATAGATCAATGGATAAAAGTAAGTGATCTATTCACAGGGTGGAATATTATTCACCCTTAAGAAGAGATAATACCTATGTGTATACGACTTAATAAAAGGGAAAAAAAAGAGAGATAATACAACATGGATGAACTTTGAGGACATTACATTAAGTGAAATAAGACACAAAAGGATGAAAACTGTGTGATTGCACTCATATGAGGTACCCAGGGTAGCCAAATTCATAGGGACAGATGGAGTAGAATGGGGCAGGGGCAGGGGCTAGGGGAGGGGAGAGGGGAGTTACTGGTTAATGGAGACAGAGTTTCAGTTTGGGCAGATGGAGAGGCCCCAGAGATGGGTGGTGGTGATGGCCACACAACAGTGTGACTGTACTTGATGCTACAGACTTGTACACTTAAAAAGCGTTACAATGTTCAATTTAATAGTATGGGTTTGTTAACCTAATTTTAAAAGTTAATTACAAAAAAAAGAACAAGAAGGCCTATGTGCCTTCATGCTTTGAAGAAAGATAGTATCTCTTCATTGAATATTTGAAATCCACAAAATCAGTTTGAATCTACAAGTAAAGTGGAACTCAGCTCTCTGAAGGCTCAAACCAAGGTCCTGACATCTTACTAGGAAAATCACCACATAGGCTACCTCTTACTAAGTCAGGAGAGATGTCATTACCAGGAAATGTTGGCCGAGCTTCTGGATTTTCTTCCCAGCAGAGCTCCATGAGTCCAATGACCTCCGGTGGGCAGTGCTTGATGTCGCTTATGTCTGGCCTATTCCCATTCTGGATGCACACTATCAGCTGCTGCTCACAGAGAGCATCTAGAAAGCAAAGAGGAGCCTAGAATGAGACGTCTTTTCAGGTCCGCCCTCTTCCAGACAGGAAGGTGAAAGAATGTGGATGAGATTGCTAATCTGTCTCTGCTGAGGCTGTGCTTGCAGTACAGCTGCCTCATTCTGTAGGAGAGGAATGACTTTGTGACAAGGAGCTGACATCTTCCATTGTATAGATGATCAAATAGCATTTAAATGTCTGCAGTTCAAAGACAAAATTCATAAGAAGGCTACCTGCTGGTAGATAGGACAAATGGATTATGTGGGTAAAGACAATAGCTTGCCCTGAATTTTATTTTATTTTTATTTTTTGAGACAGAGTCTCACTACGTCACCCTTGATCAAGTGCCTTGTCATCACAGCTCATAGCTACCTCAAACTCTTGGGCTTAAGCAATTCTCTTGCCTCAGCCTCCCAAGTAGCTAGGACTACAGGCACCCGCCACAATGCCCGGCTATTTTTGTTATTGTTGTTGTAGGTGTCATTGTTGTTTGGCAGGCCCGGGCTGGGTTTGAACCCGCCACCTAGTGTATGTGGCCGCCACCTAGTGTATGTGGCCGGCACCCTAGCTGCTGAACTATAGGCACTGAGCCCTGGATTTTAATACAAAGGCAAATACATGTACAGCCCTTGCCTTTATGGAGTTCAATTTAATGAAAGTAATTTAAAACACAAAGTGAGACCAGGCACAATGGCTCATGCTTATAATCCTAGCACTTGGAAGGCTGAGGCGGATGGATCACCTGAGCTCACAGGTTCCAGACCAGCCTGAGCCAGAGCGAGACCTCGTCTTGAAAAAATAGCTGGGCATGGTGGTGGGCACCTATAGTCCCAGCTCCCTGGTAAAAGGTGAAAGATTTATACAACCCAAAGAGAAACCAGAGTATTGTCCCAACTACTTGGAGGCTGAGGCAAGAGAATCGCTTAAGCCCAAGAGTTTGAGGTTGCTGTGAGCTACGATGACACAGCACTCTACTGAGGGCGACAAACTAAGACTCTGTCACCAAAAATTAATTAATTAATTAATTAAATTAAATAAAAAGTGATAATTGCTATTCAAGAAGAAGTACAGGGGTTCTGGTAACATAGCTGTGACTAGAATGAAAGATCTGTGAACGCTTTATTGAGTCCAGAAAAATTAGCAGGTAAAGAGCATCTGTTTGCAGATATCTTTTAAATCTCTGTCTCTGGTCCTGGCCTAGATATCCACTTGCCTAATGGTCAGATCCAAAATAGGAAGGAGGACTTGAGGGGAGGATTCCAGGCAGGGAGTATGAATAGACCGGAAGGTACAGAAATCATGATGCCTCCAGTGTGGCACCTACTCACTCTGCGTAACAACACACTGACAAGGGAGGAGGGGAAGGGATAAGGCTAGAGAATGAGGGACAGGTCCTGAAGGACCTCATATTGCACCTGGGGAATTTGAACTTTATTCTGAAGGCCATGGGGAGTCTAGGGAGGATTTTTAATAGCTGAGTGAGAGGGTCACATTTGCTTTTTAGAATGGTCATTTTGGCTGCCACAGGGATAGTGGACCTTTGGAGGAGCCTAGAGCAGAAATGAGGAGGGTCCAGAACTAATCAGAGGCCAGGGGGGCAGAGAGAGGTGACAGGTTGAAGATGCATCTTGACATATATATACATATATATATATACACATGTATGTATGTGTATGTATCTCTGTGTGGATATATATCTTAAATTCACAGGTTTTGAAGTTTGATTGAATGTGGATGAGGAAGGGCAAGGGTGAGTCTTGAAAGATGGTAAAGGCTCCTGGCTGGGCAACTTGGTAGATGGGTGGAGATGCAATTTCTGATCCGACAAAGAGGAGTGAAGAGGGCTGAATTGCAGGGAGAGTGTTGGAACCTGGGCTTGTTTGGGGGATGCTGTTTTGGGGCTTCTCTGCTGCCATGGGATGGATCTGGGTTAGTGAATATCCAGGCCAGAACCAGAGACAGAGATTTAAGAGGCATTTGCAAAGAAACAATCATTAAATCGTGGATGTTGATAATTACCTAAAAAGAATGTGATAATTACCAAAAGAAAATGTCTATTAGTTTATGCACTAAATAAACTGAAGAATGTCCCGGTTTTCCTGCACAAGCCACAACTTACTTATCTTTATAATTCCAACATCGACTAAATTGCCCACAGTCAAGACTGCAAAAAATATAACTCTTGAATGAGAGAGAATTGAATGAGTGAAGTATGAAGCATATGTATGGTAGTGTGAAAGGCTAAGTCCTCAAAAGCAGAAACAATCAAATCTTCCTGTCCAGGAAGATCTATGGAATTTCACAACACCTCCCAAGCTTCAGTGCACTATGGAGGCTTCTGTTCATTTTGTAATCTCTGATTGCTAAACTAGGATTACTCACTGATTCACCAAAAATTTGCTGAGCATCTATTATGTTCCAGGTATGGTGTATGTAGACACTGAGAAGACAGTAGTAAATAAATCAGATGTGATCCTGGTCCTCATGGAACTCATGTCAGTGGGTAAGGCTGACATTAAATAACCAAGTAGGCCTGTAATTCTAGCACTCTGAGAGGCCAAGGCAGGAAGACTGCTTGAAGTCAGGAGTCCAAGAACATCCTGAGCAAAAGTAGACCATGTGTCTACTAAAAATAGAAAAATTAGCTGGGCATTGTGGCAGACACCTGTGGTCCCAGCACTTGGGAGGCTGAGGCAGGAGACTCACTGGAACCCAGGAGTTTGAGGTTGCTGTGAGCTATGACATCACAGTACTCTAGCCTGGGGTAACAGAGTGGGACTCTGTCCAAAACAAAAAAGAAATTAATACATCTTAACTGATCTCATTGAAGCCCATTATTTCATGTAACAATGTTAATTCATACCAAAATCTCACTTTTCTATAAATGTCTTACTTTCATATGGCTCCTTATTTGCAAATATTGCCCAAAGTACTATGGCAAAGCTGTACACGTCAGACTTCTCCGTGGGCTTTGCATTGATGTCATTCAGGTGCTCTGGGGCCATGTAGAAGAGGGTGCCTCCATTTTTCTTACAGGTGCTGTTCACTTTCTTCAGTTCATTGTGCTCCTCTTTAGTCAGTCTGCTCCACGTCTTAAAGGAAGCAGCACCAAGATCTGCTATCTGCAGAAGAGACCAAGGCAATGGGATAGTTCTGTGAAGGCTATAAGCAAATTAGATTTGGCTTTAACTTTTGGGCTCATACAATATATGTCAGGTACAGTGAATTTACCAGGAATGGCAACATTGGGCAGGTTGAAAAAACCTACTTCTGAATAGGCTCACAGAAACTTTATGACAGTTTCCTCAGCTGTCTGGAAAATCTCCCCAAAGAAATGTTCATGTGAAACTCTAGTATCTCAATTCTCACACAACAAAAGGGAAGGTGAAAAGCAGATACTTTTGCATGAACAACAACAATAAAGTGTGTTTATCTAAATCCCTCATTTACTCTGTGTATGTTTTTCAACTATTTCTAGGGCTAGGAAGAAAAATGGTACTTTCTTCTCTGCAGATTTATGTAGCAGATGGTGACCAGGCACTACACCTTCCACTTCCCCCAATGGCGTCCAGAGGCCCATGATGCAAATTTCCAAGGATCCCAAAGACATACAGAGGATAAAGGACTGTGGTGTTGCTTGTTTTGAGCTGGCAGACTGAACCTAAGAGAAGATGGGAGGGGGAGGGGGAGGGGGAGGGGAAAAACAGACAAAAAAGCAGAGAGAAAAATACCAAGGTCAGACATAGAACAGAGTTGGAGGAAGCAGAGCAAAATGCCAGAAACATCCGGTTAAGAAGAAACCAAAGCTAGCAGTTTCACATCTGCCTCTAGGAATCCAAGCAAGCATTTGGGGCTCTATTTTGGCACATGGTTATCTAAAATCCACGAATTCTAACCTAGAATATAAAAGATAAGTTAATGAGTTAAAGACAGAACCTTCTTTAAAGACATAGGAGGAAAAAAGTCTGCCCCAGATTAGTACAAAGTATAGAAGCAGAATCTTGTAAAGGACACGGGGGTAAGCAGGCCAAGTTCTCCACATAATGTCACTTCCCCTTTCATATTCTCATGCTTATATTCTCCTGCTGCCAAAGCTAATTAGGTGTAACGTTCCCCTAGTTCAACTTTGCCTTTGGATGGACAAAAGACACATCCCTTTCCCTTATTCTCTTGACTACAATGCAAAGAGAGTTACGAATAGAAAATTGATGTTTTAAGTGCAATCACTTCTCAGCCTTTTGGCTAAGATCAAGTGATTTTTTAAATGCAGATGGAAGTCAAGAGATAAAAACTATAAACCAGCCAAATTTCAAAACAGAGGTTTTTGATGTTGACATGGAGAACTCAATATCCATCTCTCAGGCCACGTCTGAATTCTAAGGTTTCCTGTACACACCTTCACATGCCTCTGCATTTCCCCAGGAGGGGAGTCTTACTCAGGAAAATGGCCCATCCCAAGGTGAACATCTTGAATGTTTCCATCTCAAGTTTAACAGTAGGAAAATATACTCTAGAAAAGACTGGGGTTCTCTACCCCAATCAATGCCACTCCTCCCCAGAGTTAGATCCTGACAGTTATCTCCTAACTCCATTAAGACTGCATTTTTCTTTTAAAACTTGGTAGAGCCTATTGGCATCACCAAACCAGTTAAAAGCTGAACCAGGTCTTCCTTTATCACCTACCATCTATGAGAATGAATTTACAGTGGAGAATTAAAACCAAACATTAGCCATCTTCCTAGAAGCCTACAGATTATGGTTTACCTTAATGTGGAAGTCATTATCAACAAGGATATTTTCAGGCTTCAGGTCCTTGTGTATCACACCTTCTCCATGTAAGTAGCACATTCCTTCAATGGTCTCCACAATTATCCTTCCTTTTACAGAAAGTGGGATGCTGATCTAAAAAGGTGATATAAGTCTATGAAACAGATAGGTAATTAAATAAACCAAAGCAACTGATTCACAGGCATAAACATCTGTCCCAGACTAGGAGGCAGCAGTGGATCTAACCCTGAGGACAGGGCAGATGCTCTGAGCACTGCCGTCTTTGTGAAACAAGAGTGATTTCATTCCAGGGACTAAGTGCTTTCATGTTGTATTTTGTCAGTATAAAAACAGAAATTCCATGCCAATCTGGTAACATATAAAAAGCTATAAAATTAAGCTCTTTAGGAACATAAACATACATTATTTTTATTATCTAGAATTGTATCTTTAGTACCCAGGATGGTACCTGGAATGTTTGTTGAATGAATGGATGAATAAATACACAAACAAACATTTTGTGTGGTAGACTCATATGATATAATGGTATATTTATTTTGAATATGTGAACAATGTCATGGAAATGAGCATGTGAAATAATATTAATAGAAAAAAGAATACAAAGGAACATGTTCATACTGATTACAGCCATGTAAAAATTAATCTATGAGATAAACATGATGCTAAAAATATGATGAAGTGAATTTACTCCAGATCTTTGTACGGTCTCAGGCTCCTTGTACTTATAATTATTCTAGTTATGTGAACATCAATATTAACACAAACAATTCCAGTTTCTATTATAGTGATTAATTTTTAGTTTTGTTTAAGTCTAAAATGCCAGACTTAATAGGATATTTCCTAAAATTGTATTATATATTGGTTATTGGTTAATAGGAAAACAATTTTAATGATAGAAGTCAGATTCCCAAGTCTATCCCTCAAGCCACATTTAGGACACAACATAGGTGAACTACAGTATTAATAGCTTGATTTCCATCATATAGAAAATAGCAGAAAAGATTTTTTTTCCCTTCTTCCTTGGTATATCTTTGGACTTAGGAAAAAATTTTAAGTAAGCAAAGTTGGTTCTTCTCCCAACCCCTTTCTGCTTCTCTGTTTCAGGTCCTCCTGACTTCTTGCCTGAGCCCAGACTGGTGCACCTGATCCCTGGCAATCCTGTAGAATGCCTCAAGTCTGAATGACTTCTCTCCCAATCAAAATGCCCACATATTCAAACAGTGGATCTTAGCTAGCTTGGGGGAAGAAAACAATCTGATCAAAAATCATTATAATCAATCAATCTTATTCTTCCCAAAAGGTATCTTCAAGAGATGTCTATTGACTTAGTAATGGCAGAGTGGGGAGAAGGTGGACAAGGGCGAGTATTTGCCATAAAGGCAGCCATAACCCACCACTTTTTACGTATAATCTATGCTCTGGCCAAATCCAGTGATCTACAGTTCCTCAAATTTAGCAGACTCTCTAAGCCATCCTCTCTGCCTAGAACACTTATTCCCAAACGCTCTGCTTCAAAAACACCTACTGTCTTCAGAGCGAAAGTCTTTCCTGTCTATTTTGGCTGAGTAGGTACCTCTCGTCTGCTCTCCACAGCTGACAATGAGTATATCTATCAAAGCACATCAAACCACCAGTCTTTGCTCCTTTTACCTGCCTCCCTCATACTGGCTATTGATTCCTGAGAAACCCCCAGGGGCTCTTCATCTTAATAGGCACATAAACTTTTTAAAATGTGTTAAAGGAATCAATAGCCAAGTATGATGGAGGCAGATAAAAGGAGCAGAAAAAAACAATTTTTATTTTCCTGCTTTAAATCTTATCCAATGTTGTTGCCACTAATGTTCTACACTTAACCTAAAAGTTTCTGGAATAGTATCAAATTAAGACCACTAATACTCCATCTTCTCTTATATTCATGTCTGTTATATACAACGAATCCATATTCATCACAGTCATTTACAGTATACATGCTTTCGCCAATCAACCCATATTTAAATGTCATCCAAGACGATGTGCTTCAGGCAGACAGGGCCTAGCTCTGGATCACGGACTGCAGAGTGGTTGAGGAGTACTGTAAATAGCCAACCACAGTACTATGACAACATTGTGTGTGATACAGAGGACTGTCAACAAGATTGAGACAATGGAGACGACCCTCAGGGCAGTGAAAGGCAAGGAAAATTTAACAAGGGGCTGACTTCGAAAAATCCAAACTACTCAGGGCATTCACGAAAGGATCATTTTATAGCAGCGAGTCACAAATGAACAACACAAGGGCAGTGTAGTAGACAGCTGGCCTGCCCACTGGGCACAGGAATGTAGTAGAGACTCCGTACCTCGGATTTCAGGACACTCATCAGGTTGCCCTTCTCCATAAACTCCATGACCAGGGAGTAGTTTCCTTCTTCAATGATAATGCCCAGGAGCTTCACCACCCGACTATGCCTCAGTCTGTTCATCATCTTGCCCTCCTCAAGGAGGGACTCATTGTACCTGTGGGTGGAAAGTAGCCGTGCTGAGCCAAGCAGAGCCAGCACCCCAGAGCCCTGCCTGTGTCTCCAGGACATCACACTGCATATGCTTTGGTCATACTCTTGGGTATGTTCTGATCTCCTCCAGGCTCAACACGAGCCTTGGAAGGCAGAGTGGTTTCTTGTTCATCTTTATAGCCCTTCTGCTCTATAACTAGGATTGAATGCTCAAGAAAACGAAACCAAAGGATGAATGAATGGATGAATGAATGAAAAAGTACATAAATAGCAATAATATAGCCTGCAGGAGTCTGAGGTTACAATGAGCTATGACTGTACCACTACACTCTAGCCTGGGCAACAGAGTGAGAGCCTGTCTCTAAAAGTTAAAAAAGATTGTGTTAGGTAGTACAATAAAAAACATAGCCTCTCTCCTAACCATTCTGACAGGGAGGGAGAGAGGTACAAACACTCCATTGACGGCTTTAAAGAGATTTTTTAGAACTTCTCAGGAATGCACTGCCTTTCTTTCTTTCTTTTCTTTTCTTTTTTTCACTTAGAACTGGTCCTCACCAAAAATGTGAAGTGAGTTTCTGCACCCATAGCACAGCAGTAATGGCGCCGGCCACATGCACTGAGGCAGGCTGGTGGGTTTGAACCAGGCCCGGGCCAGCTAAACAACAATGACAACTTCAACAAAAAACAGCCGGTGTTGTGCAGCCACCTGTAGTCCCAGCTACTTGGGAGGCTGAGGCAAGAGAATTGCTTAAGCCTAAGAGTTGGAGGTTGCTATGACCTGTGACACCACAGCACTCTACCCAAGGGGACAGCTTGAGACTCTGTCTCAAAAAAAAAAACAAAACAAAACAACAAAAATGTGAAATGTATAAATCCGTCTTCAGTGACACCTTCCCTATTTTCTTATCTGCCTCCCTAACCACCCTTTTCTTTTTGTCTTTTTCAATTTTCTTCCTCTTCATTTCTTTTCCATTATTTATTAGCCATGAGCTTTTCATTCAGCCTCAGAATCCCCATCAGTGATAATAACAAGCATCATCGTTACCCCTGACATCCCACCAGGGTCTCTCTCATTCTGACACCAGCAGTCTCATCCCCACACTGACCCATACCTCCACGACAGCCACTTTACATGGCCAGCTCAGAGGCAGGCCCACCCACCTCTGCTCCCAACTCACTCAGTGCGCTTGGGCCCTGTGTACACCTTTTTCATTATCACTAATCCATGGGTTCTGTGGAAACACAAGGACACCTTCCCAAAACCTCCGCTGTCCAGATCTTCCTTCTCCAGGAAGTCACTGGATTTCATCTTAATGTCATCCAAGGACATGTCTGGTTGCCTTCTGAATGCTCAAAATTATACTTTTTTTCCTCTCAGCACTGTACCCTGTAAAGAAAAGAGAGACTATCTCAGGGCAAAAACATATACTTTTGTAAAGTTCCGCCACATGCTTGGTGTGCCTTTGTTTTTCTGAGAATAAACTCTAAAAAGAGTCACTTTTTATATTTCTAAGAATCACAGAAGTCTATGCTTTTTATTCCTTCAGACTTTTCATTTTTGGAAATATGGAACATTAGAAAACCTTTAAAAATCCTCCTGCTACAAAGAACCTGTACATGGTGGATAACACGATACAAACATTGATTCAAATGCACATCAGGAAAGAAAAGAACTCTAGGGACAGAAAAAAAAATAGGGCACCAGAGGTGGGCAGTGGCCCATGTGGCAGCCCTGTGGGACACTGTCAATCTCACCATCCAGAAGTCAGGGCTTAATGCCTAGCCAGGAACAGGAGCTGAGATCAGGGCACGTAGGAAAAGAGGGCTGGAATGAAGACTCCCCATTTAACCTGGCACTGCTCTATATGCTACCCTTCTGTGAAAGAATGAGCAGAAAGGAAGCAGCTCACCAACAAACATATCTGCCTTAGACTGGGCATGGAGTATTAAAAAAAGTCCATGTGAATTCATAACCTTGAACCTGTCTTCAGATGGATTTCAGCTTTGAAGTGAAGTTCATGAAGAGGATGCCCAGGACCTCCCACCCAAACTGAGAACTTTTATATAGGAAATGGTCATGGGCTGATGATATCCCGAGGTTATAAGGTTAAAGCAAACACAGCACCAGGCCAGCCAGGAGTCTCATAAATAAAACTTACTTGAACATGATTTCTCTTTCCAAAATTATAAAACACAAATGAAAAAATTTATCATGAGCTATAGCCAGCAGAGACAACAAACGTCAGTACTAGGTACTCTGAAGTACCAAAGAGCTTCAGGTAAGTGAGGTACTGAATAGCATTAGACAATAAATGTTTAAAACAATTATGAACAAAAAAATGAATGTGAATATAGAAAGGGCAATGCATTCTCTAACAGGAATAGAAAGATGTAAAAAAGGCTGAGAATTTAGGAAACTTGTCCATCAGTACTCTGAAGTATACAATGTCAGGGCTCAAAATAGAACTATTTGCTTCATCCTTCTTCCTTTATTTTCTTCCATTCATTCATATTCATTCATTTTCCCCAAACTGAAATAAAGAATAAAAATCCATGGGGAATCACAATGAGATATCACCACATCCTACCAGGATATTCAAAAGTAAAACTAACAGCACCAAACACTGGTAAAGCTGGGAAGCGACTAGAATTCTCACACATTGTTGGTAGGAGTGTAAAATGGTACAATCATTTCGGACAAAAGACTGGCAAAGAGCTTTGTGACAAAATAGAAACTCCATGCATACCCAAAGGACATACTGGGAGGGATAGTGTATGTACACATCAGTGGGCATGTCTGTGTTTCAAGCTCAAAAGGGGAGCTAAGGATGCTGTATATTCCAGAGATACCTCAATCTCAATACAGTGAAAAATAACATTTGACAGGGCATAAAATACTCATTGAAACTGGAAAGGTCATCAAAAGAATACCTATGTATCTTACGTGTCATAATGCATACATTTTGCTTACAAAATTAAAAATACTTCATATGACTCAGCAATTCCAGTTCCTTGAGAAATGAAAACCTGTGTCCAAACAGACTGGTACATGTTCATAGAACTTTATTCACGACAGTGCCAAACTGGAAACAACTGCCCATCAATAAGAGAATGGGTAGGAGAAATACATCTCTGGTGTATTAACTCAATAGGATACTATTCAGCAATAAAAACGAACTACTAACACACAAAACATGAATGAAATACAGAAAACATAATGCTGAGTGAAAGAAGCCTTATACAAAAGAATACATATTATATAACTCCATTTACATTAAGTTCCAGAACAGTTAAAACTAATGTGTTGGAAAAAGAATACTGGCTGCCTATGGGCGAGGTGACAGGTGAGTGGGATGGGGCATGAGGGAACTTCTGGGGTGCTGGTGATGCTCTGTGGTATCAGCGCACTGCATTTGTCAATATTCCCAAATGTACTCTTAATTGCAGGTACATTTTACACCAAAAGAAAAGCCTGTAAACACATGGAATGTTAGTTAAAGGTAAGTATTGGCCGTGCATCAACGTATCAGATAGAGTGATGGACAGACGGGTGGGGAAGGAGACGGACAGCTATGTGATAAAGCAAGAGTGTAAGACGATACCGATGAGAGGTAGCAGGGAGTTCGCTATCAAACCTTTTAACCTTTGCACTTTGATGTTTTCATAATAAAATGCTGGAAGGCAAGGAGTTAAAGAATAAAAAGTACCATGAGGAGAGGGTAGTTCTGAAAATAGTCTTGTTCAGTGGCCTACTGCAGGTGGCTCGGGGCACCAGCCTCTACACAGCATCCAAAGGCTGTGGGCTGGCCCCGCCTGGCAGATGAGTAGCAGCCTTTATGGCCGCCTTCCCGACAGTGATGGAAGATGTTGCCAAACAAGAGTAAGTGCCCTCTGGAAAGAAGTGCAATGTGAGATGAAGCAGGGGGAGGGGTGAGGGAGGCTGCCAGGGTAAAGGTATGAACTGAGGGACTAGGGTGAGGCAGGCACCGAAGGTGGGGCACGGGAGCCTTCCTCTCCTGCGCATGAACTCTAGCTCTGTGACTCACCAGCCCTGTAACCTTAGGGAACTTACTTAAGCCTCCATTTCCTCATCTGCAAAATGAAATAATGACAGCCTTATAGAACTGCTAGATTGTATAAGAAAAAGAAATACATTTACGTGAAAACGTCTCTGTCGCCTGCTTTATGGCTCTGGTTGGTCTAGCCACCCACCTAGGCTTTGAGAATGCCAGTGTGCAGCTGGCATCACTCTGCTCAGCAGGTCTCTACTGACTCGGGAGAAGGAGATGGGGGTGGGGTGGGGGGACAGAAGGCATAAAAGACAGAACATTGACTTTAATCCTCCTTTTCCATTTGCTGTAGGTCCACAGGAGCATGCAGGACTTCACGTCTTCCCCATCACATGTGCTAATTTGTCCCACCCTCCTGCTGCTGCCCTCCTAGGGTACCTTCTCCCAACCTCTCGCCTGACTAGATGTACTCACTCTTCTGGTCTCAGCGAGCTGTCATTTCTTGAGGGAGGCCATCCTAACTCTTCCCATTAGACATTTTCACAGTGCCAAGTATGTTCCCCCTGAAACAGTTAAGATAGCTGGAATTCGAGAAATGTTTCTCATGAAGCTCACAGAACGCAGGAAACTGTCCTGTGTATTGTCTCCAGTGGCTAACAGAACCTGACATATGGCAGCTGACCATTAAACTGATAGCTATTTTTAAAAAAGAACTAAATGAGACTGTCTAAAAATAAAGGATGTAGTTAAATGAGTTATAGCACATTCATATGACAGATTATATAGCCTTTCAAAAGTGTTTTCAAGGAATAAATCTGTAAGAATAAATACTTATATGTATTTATATATATATTATATCTATGTGTGTGTATATATATATATATGCTAATAGATACAGATATATGTACAGAAAAAAAAGACAGAGAAAGACCTCAAAATGTTAACAAGAATTCTATCTGGATGGTAGGCTTATTTGTATTTTCTTTTTTACACATTTACTACATGTTCCAAATTTTCTACAATAAACACAAATTAAGTTTATAAAAATCATATTTTGGGGGTGGTACCTAGCTCAGTGGGTAGGGCACAAGCCACATACACCCAGGCTGGCAGGTTCAAACCCAGCCTGGGCCAGCTAAACAACAATGACAACTGCAACAACAAAAAACTAGCCAGGTGTTGTGGTGGGCGCCTGTAGTCCCAGCTACTTGGGAGGCTGAGGCAAGAGAATTGCTTAAGCCCAAGAGTTGGAGGTTGCTGTGAGCTGTGACACCACAGCACTCTATGGAGGGCAACATAGTGACACTCTGTCTCAAAAAAAAAAATTATATTTTTTGAAAGGAGTAATTCTTTCACTCAATAGTTCTTTAAGGAATTAAATCAGTGATGTTGATAAAGATTATGCACAAGGATGTTCCTGGTAACATTATATAGAACAGCAAAAGCATGCAAGATAATTAACATGCACAGAGGAGAGGGTAAGTTATGGCTCACCTATACTCTGAAATATGTCTAGCAGCATCAAAAATGATGCTGTATAAGAATGTTTAATACCATTTTTTAAAAAATGCTAACAGTAAGGAAACAGGAAAGAACTACACATGCCCTGAAGAGTTCTATTCGGTATCTCTCCTTCAGTCCAGGATGTGTCCCCTCAAATTTGTTGAATTTGTCAAAACCAAATAGGACTCACAGTGCCTCCTGTGTGCAGTGGAGGCCTCCAGGTAGGTCTGCCAGACTTTGTGAGCGCAGCTCATGACCAGAGTCAGTTCTTCTTATAACCCTGCAATTCTAGTTTAGTAAGATCTTACTCTTATATATCATTTGGTTGCTAATAATTGCTTTTTTTACTCTTCTCCCTCACTCTTTTCCCCCATGAACAATTCAACTTTATAAGTATTGACTGTGTGTATCTTAGGAAGGCCTTTGTATGTAGTTTAGTGAAGGATCCCAAGAGCCACAAAAGCACTGAATTTAGGGAGGTTATACAGCTATGACACAGAGTAATTAATGAAGACACGCTGGGCTGTTATATTAACTAATTTCAACTAATATGTAATTGTGTGCATTTTAATGAAATTTATTGTTTTTGAATAAATGGATATTAAGGAGTCAAAGAAGTTATTTTTTTCCTACTGAAATTAATGAAAAATTCCAAGAAATTTCACATGTTACTTTCTAAGGCAGGGTAAGTTTACATCAATATTCTAACTAACTTGTTCCTATTTCTACATAATGGCCATGCATAACAAGAGTGTGACAGAAAATGTTGGTTGTCTACCTGTCACTGCCCTTTCTTCCTTGCTAATGGAGCTCCAGTTTTACTCAGGTATCCAAGTGACTAAAGAACTTCTTCAAGATTCTTTGACTGTAGCAGCTGGGTGCTTTGCCAAGATAAACAACAAGAGCTCTGAGCAAAAATGGGGCAATGGGCCTTTTCATAATTGTGACAATGGGGAACCATTTACTGACTATGGAAAACATATTTTGCTCTGTAAGCTTATACCTTGCATTTACTGTATAAACTTTGCTTTTCCTTCTCAATAAACTTCGTTAGTGCTTGCCATTAAAAAAAATAAAATAAAATAGGGAGCCAATGCTCAGCAAGAGACAGACTGGAAAAGAGTTTAAACAAGTATTATCACCTCCATGAGCACACTATGATCTGTAAAGTAAATTTTATCATGATTTCAGTTTATAAATGAAGAAACTAAGATTTGTAGTTAAATGATTTACCTAAAGTGGTAGTTTCTGGAATCAAACCTTTGTCCTGACACTTAAACTTTCACTCTCAGTTTACTAACACAGTCTATCTCTGTAGACAGCAAACATTTTCTGTCTCTGGAAAAATCCAGATGAAAAGACCCAAGCTTACAGCCTTACTCATCTATAGTCAATGAGTATGCAACAGTTAGACACAAGAGGAATGGACAGAATACATTTTAAAAACATAGAAAATATGTGGTTCAAAATCAATATTCTATAGATTAACATAGCCAACTATTTTTGCCAAAATATAACATCCAACCAAAGCATGGAAAGTTATACGTATTTTTCAAATTTCATATCATGGAACATAATATGCATTAATAAGCACTACACCGTAGTTTGTCCAGTTCGTAAGTTGGTATTTCGAGAATTTTTCTTAATACTCAGCCAGATTCACAGTCCTGAAAGTACAATGTATTTCTGGGGCTCAATATACTGCCCCAGATAGAGGAAAATGAAAATGAAGATTAATTGTTTTTGCTATTTTATCAGTACAAATAATGATGATATACTCCAGGTTTCATTTAAAACAAGCCTACTCTCCACTTTTGGCTTATAAAAGAGCTGCAGTAGGGCGGTGCCTGTGGCTCAGTGGGTAGGGCCCTGGCCAAACTGCAACAAAAAATAGCTGGGCTTTGTGCTGGGCACCTGTAGTCCCAGCTATTTGGGAGGCTGAGGCAAGAGAATCTTCTAAGCCCAGGAGTTGGAAGTTGCCACCTCCAGGAACTGTGATGCCACCCACTCTACCTAGGGCGATAAAGTGAAACACTATCTCTTTAACAAAAAAAAAAAAAAAAAAAGAAAGAAAGAAAGAAAAGAAAAAGAACTGTAGTATTCCACATTTATAACTGATCACAATTTCCTCCTTACTCAATGCACTTTCCTGGCAGTCACAAAATGCAGATGCGTCATTGTACATTTCAAAGTTCACTACATGCCTTGGTTTCTTAAAGTGTAAATCAGGAAAGAATTAGTAGTGGTCCAAAGACATAAAGACCTTCATTTGAACAGCCTCATGCATTGCCCAAGACAAACCAGAGCTCTGACATAGGAACAAACAGATGATCAGCAAGAAACAAAAAAATGACCCAGACATCCTCCTTTCCACAACCTTGTGAAACTTTGTCGAATGCTTAGGAGAAGAGGACGCAGCCTGTTCTCTTTGATATCCTGGAGAGACTCTGTAGCACTTCATAAACGCAAATGCAACTGACGACCAAAGAAGCCTCCTAGGGTTAGGACATTTACCCCTTAAGCTCTATTGACTGCTCTTTTCCCATTTGCCAGGTGACATCTAAAATCATGCAGGAATGCTTTTGATGGTCTTCACAACCTGCTGCGGACCCAAGTGCAGTACTGAATAGCCACTTCCAAGGACTGATTAAAAGTCCCATTCCAGGACGTAACTCTGTTACAGCAGGAGCAAGCACTACTTTTACTTAATAACATACTGCAAAAACTACAGGTCATCCCTACCGAGACAACATGGACATTTGCAACGAAGGGTCTATTCCATTGTCACGCCACAGACGTGGATCGAGCGCAGGTCTTCGCCCCGCTCCGGACTTGCGCCCAGACATCCCACAACAAAATGCACAACGGTTCCCGCCAGCAGCTCGACTTCCGGAAACGGCGCGGACCCCGCCCCCCCACGCGCAGGCTGCTTCCGGGAAGCGGACTGCCGGGTATCCTGGCGGCTGCTGTGGCCTCCGCACAGACGCACCCACAAATTACTTTCGTTTCTGCGACAAATGTCCCCAGGCCAGAGTGAAGGGAGAAGCGCTGCTAGGAGAGTTAGGAGTTACTCAGACGCCGCGGCAGCCTCGCGGGACCGGCTAGGGGAGGACACCCAAGCCCGACGAGGGAAATCACCGGGATCTGGGTTCGGGAGTGGCCGCCCCGCGCCCGCCCGCTCACCGCGCCGGGTTCCGTCACCCTGCCGTCCAACTGCGGTCCTTCGGTTTTGTATGGACAGCTGTCCCTGGCGCCCCGAGCTGTAGGCCCACCGTGACAGCCGCGCTCCAGGAGACCGGTCGAGTGGCCGCGCGCCTTGGTGGAGTGCTGTCGGCGGGAGGGCGTGGACTGCTGGCTCTGCCTCCTCCCCTAGCTCCCGCCTGAGAGGAGGACTGCGAGAGCGCCCGCCCCGCCACCAGCCGGGCCTGGCTCTTGGGTTTTAAATCCCGGAGCTCTCCTGGCACCTAAAGGAGCGCGCTTTTACTTTGTTTTCATGTGAATTGGCAGGCCTAAAGAAAAGAGGAATCAGAAGCCTCTGCCGCTCAGGGAAGGCTGCTTGGCCTAGCAGAAAGCACTGGGTGGGTTACCTAGGAGGATTCAGAGCTCCTGGGTTAGCATGGGCATCTCATAGTGGAATCTTAAAGAGTATATTTCTAAGTGAGGAAAGCCAATCTGAGAAGACAATGTAATGTATAATAGCACCTATGTGACATACTGGAGAAGATAAAACTATGGAGATAGTAAAAATAGTAGTAGTTGCAGGGCAGGAAGTGGTTATAGGGAGAAAGGGAGGGATGAATGGATGGACTACGGGGGATTTTTAGGGCAGTATAGTGTGATATAACAATGGGAGATATATGTCTTGATACATTTGTCAAAGGTATATAGATTGTAACACAAAGAGTGAAACCTAAAATACACGCTGAACTTCGACTGACAATAAGGCCTCTTTATTAATTCATCAGTTCTAAAAAATGTACCACACTGGTATAGGATGTTTGTGGTAGGGGAGGCTTTAGAGGACAGGATAGGTATAGGAGAGTGTATATACCCTTACCCTTCAATTTTGCTGTAAAACTAAAACAGCACTAAAACAAAGTCTATTAATTACTGCTAAAAAAGATCTAGACATATGAAAAGAGACTAAAGGGATACCTATTCATTAAACAAATCTATCTCCTCTATGCCAAACAGGTACTAGATAAGAGTGTATCTGGGGCCAGGTGCAGTGGCTCACACCTGTAATCCTAGCACTCTGGGAGGAAGAAGTGGGTAGATTGTTTGCACTCACGAATTTGAGACCAGCCTGAGCAAAAGCAAGAACCCATCTCCAAAAAATAGCCTGGCATTGTGGGTGCCTGTAGTCCCAGCTACTTGGGAGGCTGCCACAAGAGAATCGCTTGAGCCCAAAGAGTTTGAGATTGCTGTGAGCTTACGACACCATGGCACTCTATTGAGGGCAACAAAATAAGACAGCCTCGAAAAAAAAAGAAGTATATCAGGGATAGATGAGTGGTACAAAAAAGGAATTCATTCCTTCAGTAAGTATTTACTGAGCGTCTATAACTCTAGGCACTGAAGACTCAAACACACAAATCTGTACATTCCATTCAAAGAGCTTACATTCTAATGCGAACAATAAAAAGAGTTCCTGCACATCACTATCCTGCATACCATGTCACTTTCAAACACTGTAAGTGGGGCCGAGATGAACTGTTGTTGCTTCATTTTCTTTAATGTCCCACCAAAAGGCATGAGAGAAGACTGCATGCGAGGAAGGGACTCATCCCTATAGGATACCAGAACAGAAAGACAAAAAAGAACAGTAAAAAGTTAGTTAGTAAAACCAGCAAGAACAAGGAGGCACTACCTGTAAAGCCAGTGAAGGCCAAATCATGAATAAAGCAGACAGGTCTGCTAGCCACACACCTGAAACCCACATTTCTGTCACCACCTCCAGGCCACAGTTCCCAGTGTCCTTGGAAATGAGACCCTCACTGCCCTAACTACTCGCCTAAGACCCTGGGAGACCTCCCTGACTCCTTCCCATCTCTCCCTTGTACCCCCACACCCATCACCAAGGCCTGCTTTCTGCCCCCAAGTCTCTCTCCAGCCCTAACCCTGTCTGAGCCAGGAAAGCTCTTTCCAGAGCCTCTCGTCTCCCTGCAGCCACAACCCCCTGTGATCAGCCCAGGCTCAGGAAAAAGCAAACAGAACCACTGGAGCGCCTTGGGACAACACACACACGGCCTCCTAAGAGACGAGTGGGTCTTAATCCTTTTACTGCTCCCCTTGAACCTCCCCTGGCCCTAAGGATGGTACTCTATTGAAATGGCTTTTCCACCTCTGGCCATCCTGCACCCATTTCAAAGTCACTTCAGAGCTTCGGCAAACACTGCTTATTCCACTTCCAAGCCCCCGCCCCCGTCGCAGTGTTAAACCTCCCCCTTCTTTAGTTCACCCGCAATTGCAGACTCAGGAGGCTCCCTGGATCCCGTCCACGAAACAGCTCCCAAGAGGACCCATCGCCCGCCTAACAATTCCTCATCTCAGTGCCTGTGCTCCCCACCAGACTGGACATTCTGAAAGCAAGGATTGTGCTTGGCACCTATGATGCCAAGGCCCTAGAAGGGTGCTCCGGAACAAGAAAGGGTTCCCTCGGGTTAGCTGCATTATTGAAAACATGAGGATGGGTAAGAGGTGCCCGAATTTGCAATTGGAGATTCTAAAAGCACAGAGAAGAGGTTGGACGGACGTCATTTTGTAGATCCCTGAGCGAGAAGCAGTGAGAAAATAGTGCCAGTATGCGGGGGCTGGGACACAGACTGAGGACCTAGGCCGGCTCAGCGGCGGCGGGGGGAGGAAGGACAGCGACTGCCGCTCGCGGGTCATCGCGCCGCACAGCTCTGGGGCGCTCCCAGGGCACAGCCCCGCTGACCAGCAGCCACCCGAAAAAGACCATTTCTGCATCTAAGACGGCGCCGCCCGCTCGGGCTTTCCTGGTGCGCGGCTTACGCTTTCTGTCCTCGTCCCTTCTCTCAGCAGCAAACTGCGGGATTTAAAGCTCAAACCTCGAGTCCCCTGTCTCCACCCTGCGCAGGGTCGCCCCCATCAGCTACCTTCGTTCAACACCACCGCCGTCTTGGTTGCTGCGCTCAGAGACTGAGGAGCCGACCAAGCAAATGCGCTCCTTAGTTCTCTCCTTGTACCGCGGCCTTTTATATAGTCCGTATGGTCTCAGGCAAGCATCACAGGAACTCCGGAGAGGCGTGGCCTGAAGACGGGGGCGGTGGGGGGCGGGGCGGGCGAGGAGGAGGGGCGACAGACAGGGCTGGTCCTGGGCAGCGGAGGGGAGGGGGGCGAGCGAGGAGGAGGGGCGGCAGACGGGGGTAGTCCTCGGCGGAGGGGGGGAGGGGCGGCAGACGGGGCCAG